ACTCCCACTTGTTTGGTGACGCGTCGAGAATAGTATATAGCAGTTCTGGTGTTTGGGAAAAGTGCTCATGTTGAAAATATAATTTCATTTGGTTTTGAAACAAATTGTATTTGTCTTGCCTATCAGAGTTCCGAAGTGAAGATAGAAACATCTTCGTTATGATTAGATTGATCAGAAAATACAGGTGGTAAGAATAGTTTTTAGGAAAAGAAGGATGCGAGTTTTCTGTTTTGATCAAGGAATGTGTCATATCCACTTCTCACTTGGAATTGTTCTTGTTGAGGGCAGATCAGTTCAAACTTAATCCAGCCGAGTATCACTGATGAGATCTATAGCAGATTGAAAAAGACGTCGAATTTTCATACTGTTCAGCATGGAAAAATGTAAATGAATAACATACTAATGTTTGTGAAACCTCAAAATTAGAGAGACAATTTCGGATGATGTTACTCTCTCTAGTTATCAGTCCAAAGGCATTATTAAAAAAAAATCAAATTAATACTGGAAACTTCTTGAAAATACTGGTTAAATTGCAAAATACTGTTTAGCAACAGTGATTAATCCAACATATGGACTGCCTGAATCCACATTGTTTATTGATAGTTGATGAGTGTTTACAAAAATAAAGAGGAGGTGTTCAAAGTTACATATAGAGATGAATAATAAAAGTTTCTGTAAAAAAAATTATATTTCTCCTCTGTGTACTTAAATGAAGTAAGTTACCAATACCATACATACGAATAAAATTTTTTCCAAAGCACCTTTGGCAACATGATAAAGATAATTTTGAGTTCAATTTCAATATAAATAAAAATTGACGTGTATCAGTACTCCCGAAAATAAATATGTATAATGTAGCGATAGCCAATTCTATAATATTCATTATCATTCAGTTGAGAGCAATTTCTGTTCCAATATAAATTGAATGAATTAGACTTGAACTATTTTTGTCGTATCTTAATACAAACTCCATGGTTACAGTCATCCATTCTTCTGAAATGAGAAAGAAACCCCGCTAATTTTCTAGGGATCCTTTGGAGAAAACTGAATTTGGACCATCAATTATACAGAAAGATGTATTCTTTTTTTAGCAATTCATATATCTGAATTTATAGTATGATCTCGACCAAAACATCGGCAATTTTAGCACTGTCAAACGAATTGATGTAAATACACAAAAAAAAATCCAAATTCAATGACAGCTTTGCATTTCCATGTTTCATATTGAGAGTTTTTGATCTGATTATTGAAAAAGAGAAATCGAGTCAATCGAAAGTAATCTGGAGTTACATGGAAATTTTACAGAACATATGATTTTTGCATACTCCAACTAATAGTAGAATCAATACAGAGTCGTGCCCTAGAAATAAATATACATGAAATAACACAAGAATATCTTGTCTGTTTTTTATAAGTGTCATCAGTTATAATAAGGTAACAATCACGTACCTAAAAAAGTATACAACATAAAGTTATCTGAGCATCTTTCTCATTGATTATACAGTGCAGACAAGTCCCCCCCCATTATTTTAGAACTTGACGAGACATCAAGTTCGGACAAAAGCGCTACCAGCTTTTTTTAAATAGAGATAGGGTCTTGTAATACCTCGTTTTATAGGTATTTCAATTATTTATCCAACGTTGTTTCTCATCAATCAGCAATTTGATATTCTTTCGAAGATCTGTATACAAACAATAAATATAATGATTTGAAAAAAACCGGTTCAAAACTTACTCGTTTATCCCAAGGAAATGTTAACCTTTCACGTGAAACATTATGAAATGTTTCTGGATTAATTTTGTTAAGTGCAAATGGAAAAGACTGTAGTTGTGAAATGTATATTTTAGATTTCACGAATCACCAGAAAAAATCTAAGAGTGTCAAATCGGATGATCTAGTGGGGCATCCCAAGTGGCTGGTTTGCATATCTAGCAGTTTGGATAATTGTCATCTAGCCTCTTTTGAAACAGCTTTTCGTAATGTGGGAAGCACCTCATTTTGCTATAACAAAACATTATTCAAAAACTCACTTGGGTCTGTCAATTATTCAAACCGGCACACATCTAAATATACGACTCCAGTTCTTTTCAGAAGTCATGAATGGAAAAAAAGGTGCTTGCAACAAAATCGCCTAGGAAATTTTCGTAATGTAATGAATCCAAAAAAAAAACTTCATTACTGCCAGGGAGTGAACGTTGAACATTACTTAGAATAAACTGAATTAGTATGTGTGATTGATGACTTGTTTATTTTTTGGTAATTCATGATCACTTCAATACTTGATAATGAGGTTTAAGCCGAAACCTGTCTTATGAATAAAATTAACTAGTGATAATTAGAAAAAAGTGTTTTTATTCATTTCATTAAAGTGAAACTGAAGTAAGTTTTCAATACGGTTTTTATTGAAATCATATTTATCGTTTCTCCGAAGATTCTCAACAATAACAAAAAAAAAGAATTTCAACAGATAATTCTTGCAAACTATCAGGAAAGTTTGTTCAGCTTGATCTTCATCTATTTGAGCCTTACTGAATCTACATTATTATCTGATATTCTCTTGGAAACCAGAGATTCAGAGTTGCTGCCGAACAAACTCAATCCACTCGAAATCAAAATCCTCCTCTGAAATCAAAACTATTGCTGACCCCTCACTTCGCAGTCAACATCAACAGCCTTTAAATTTTTCTACTCTGGAAACTCAAAATTCGTCGTAATGAATAGATCTCATTCCAAGCGTATGCCTTGCACCCACGAACTCAAATCCGTAACGTCCTCGCAGTCCACGACAATCTCTTTGGGTGCTTCTGCAGACATTACGGTTTGGGCAGCCTTCCTGCCCGTGATGGAAAAATGTAAATGAATAACATACTAATGTTTGTGAAACCTCAAAATTAGAGAGACAATTTCGGACAATATTACTCTCTCTAGTTATCAGTCCAAAGGCATTATTAAAAAAAAAATCAAATTAATACTGGAAACTTCTTGAAAATACTGGTTAAATTGCAAAATACTGTTTAGAAACAGTGATTAATCCAACATATGGACTGCCTGAATCCACNTGTTTTGTTAGTTATTTAAGAACATGTGCAAGTAATTTTAAATGTGGACAATAACAAATTAAGAAAGGGGTATATTTTTAGGAGAGGGGGAAAAAATTTTGTCTTTCTGCTTCTCCATCTTTATACAAAAAACGTGGAAAACTTCTAAAGGAAGGAAGCGAGCAATTGATTTCAAGATGCATAGAAGTTGCTCTCAGATACAAATTGGAAGAAAAAGCCCTCTCCAAACAATAACTTTCGTATAAACATTAAATTACACAAAAGAAACAGTACTTTTTAAACAACTACTTTCATTATATAATAATAATCAAACAGACAACAAGTCAGTATCACTAAAGACTCAAAAAACTTCAAATCTGATATTATAACAACATCTATAGGTATACCGCAAGGAAGTGTAGCGGACCCACTGTTGTTTGTTATATTTATGAATGATTTATGCAAATCTGAATTAGCAGATAATCAATTTATAACTATATATGCTGATGATACAAGCCTTCTGACAGAGGGAGAAACATATCCGGAGATGATGGTAAACTGTTGTAACATTTTTCAGAAAACAAAAAACTGGTTGAAAACAAATAAGTTAGTATTGAACGAGTTGAAAACTAAAGTGATCCTATTTGCACACTATCTAACAGCAGAGGAAAAACCAAATGACATATAATTTTTCAATAATTCCTTTCAGTTATGGCATGACACCAAGTTTTTGAGTGTTAAATTGATGAATGGCTGAACTGGTCACAACATATGGAGAAAATCTCTTCGAAGCTTGGAAAAGTGTCCTATGGACTGAGAATGATCAGTGAACATCTAGAAAAGCAAGCAGCTTTATCTCTTCCCTTTGCAAATTTTGAATCCGACATGAGATACGGAATAATTTTTTGGGGATCCAACAAGAATACAAGTAGAATATTTGTTATACAAAAAAGAGTAATGAGAATAATCAATTACAAACATTATAAGGACTCTTGTCAAACAGTTTTTAAGAATAATAACATCATGACTGTATATGCTCTGTATATTTTTGAATGTTTGATGTACTTGTTGAAAATTGAGAACTTTTTGATCTAAATGCTACAGAACACGAATATCACACTTAGAGGCATGACCTCATTTATCCATATCATACATTGAGACTTACTGAAAAATGTCCCTATTATATGGCAATGAAATTTTACAACAAGTTACCAGTACTTGTTAGACATTCTGCTAGTAGCAATCAATTAAAAAAAAATCAAAAAGATACTTGTAGATCTAGAACCCTATTAAAGTTATTTCATTATGTTTATAAATATGTTTCAAGTAAAATAGCAGTTACTCTTTTTTTACATACCTTGGTTTCTTTCTCATCCAAATAAATTGGTTGTGCCAGATATTCTATATCTAATTGTGAGGCTCCAACAGCAATGGCCGTGTATGATCCCCTAGTATATTGTTGGCTATGCCAACTTGTACTAAAACAAAAAATTTTGTTGAAAAACTTCACAGCCAGTCCTATATTCGTTGCATTATTTCAGTGATCAATAGACCAGCGACACCAAATAAAACCAATTTCATAACAAATCATACAAAACTGTTGAGCTGTCCTAAATTTATGAAAAAATATCACATTAAACATTTTCAACGAGTTATTCTTATAATGTTGGCAATAGACCCACTCACTTTGAACCTAACCAAATTGTTTTCAACTTAAAGCATTACTATAATGTTTATAAAAATACACAATGAACATAAAATAGTATACACAAACATCTATTGAATTATCTAAAAGTACATAATAATTTGTAAAAAAAAGGGAGTCAGATTTAAAAACCACTTGATATGAATGTATGATTATACACTCACAAATATCAAATCAAATTTGGTACGGGCAATCGAAATACTTTTCATTTTCATCCTTAATACAGAATTGAAAGAAAATATGGACTATTTCAAATAACTTACCAGACACATTTTTTTGGTTTTGGTATAAAAGGATCATTTAAAAACTTCCTCAAAATCGTTGTGCAAGTATCAATAATCACATCATTCGACAAGGTTTCCATATATTCTGCTTCCTTTCCAGAAATCCAGCCTAAAATTAAAGTTTCCGATATTTTAGAAAACGAATATATCTTCCTATACCAATATTTGGTTATATCCGAATACTTTTCTTTGTCAGTCTCCCACAGCAGAAGAACTTCGCTTATATTGGGATGAAGGAATGGTCTTTCGTATTCTAGTAAAATCTTATCCACAGTTCCAAAAAGCAATCTGAAAATGGATGATTAAAAAGAATTTATTGAAGAATTTTAGGAGAGATTAACTTTCGGAAAAGAAAGGTTACGACTTTCTACTTCCACATTTTCTTGTGTAAAGATAGAAAAGTAGAAAGCCAAAACGTTTCTTTTACAAATATTATTATACTAAGTACCACATTTTTGATAGTATAAATTAATTGTGCAAGGCTTATCACCTTACTAGCTACGATTACATCACCCTGTACAAGGAAACTTGGTAAACTATATGACAACATTTTGTAAAGTATGTAAAGTGTCGCATAACCTGTGTCCTTCAAAAAGTTACTTTTTCAAGTATTTGGAATATTGGAAATTTCAAATCACGGCAGGGAAGTGTAGGTTAGAAAATAATGGAAGATATCCGTAATAAAAAAATCTCAAGTCATTCGTCAGGATATTCTCACCTATCAATAGCTTCTAATTTGTAATCAGGTAGAGGCGGTTGAAACATGTTATTTGCACTTTGCTTCAGAACTCCCAACGGCAATGTACAAATAACATGGTCCCCTAGGAACTTCTTTCCGTTATCACAGATTACTTCGACGTTACATCTATCTTTTTCACAGCTTGATTCTCGACTAGAGTGACTTGAACTCGACGGAGACTCGATAATGGTCCTGACCGACTCATCTGAATCACTTTCATCATCGGGGTTATATTTTGGTCGTCTTCCCTGTAAAAAATCCACAGCGCCATCATGTGTCAGTCTTTGAAATTTGACAGTTTCAAAAAGATGTTATTAAAATAATAAGTTTAATAGTTTACTTTCTCTAATAATATAAATCTTATAGTTGATTACCTCAGTCACTAATGTCGATATTAAAAATTTTTTTCAGGGTTAGAAATGGCATTTTTTCAAAATATTTCAAATGTATATATTTCTGTTTGATATATCAGAATCTACAATATTCAATCTCCATTTGGGGCACAGCTAATTCATCAATACTGAGTCCTCTAAGGAGACTGCAGAATAAAATAATAAAATGTAAATTCAAATTACCATATTTTGAACCTATATCAAGTTTATATATACCACGTGATCTTTTAGATATTCAATCCAATTTGTTGCTTCATTTATTTGATTAGAAAAAGTCGCAAACATTCAACTTTGAATTTCAGTGAAATAAATACAAAAAAAAAACTACTAGTTAAATCATATCTTTCAAAATTTGGGGACGAATCAATATCTGTTCAAATAAAACGAGAAATCCAAATGTAATTTTATTGTTATTCTTAAAATTTCAATTGATGTATTAATTCCTTTTTCCTTATATTGTGAGTCATCATGTATCCCTTAAACTGTTTTTAGATATTTTTATCCCACATGAGATTGAATAATTTTAAATCTGTCTGTTCACAAATTCATCTCTTGAATTATGAAATGTTCCTGAGGTATGGTTGTATATCGTTTGCTTTACGTCATGTATGCTCCCAAAAATATCTAAAGGTGTCTATCAGATGATTTAGTAAGTCATTCTAAGTGACCACGTGTGCCTATCTACTGGTTTGAATAACTGACAAACTCAAATAATTTTTCAACTGAAATTAAGTTTCGGTAAGAAAAATACCTCTTTATTATGACAGCCTGATTCAAAAGTAGTTAAATGAAAATTATTGAACTGGTTAATAGGCAAATGAAATTCCCATAAAACTACAAGTGGTGAAACACAATATTGTTTTTATCATCAAAAAGTACTAAAAATTATACGTTTTTAAGCAAATTTTGTCTTACCTTGATATCTTGTTCCGTTCTGCATTGTATAATTCTGGTTTGTTCATTTTGTGTTCAGGGGTCAAAAAAATTGAAAATAATTTTTGATTTTTTTGCAATTTCAATTTCTTTTAACAACAATAGAATCCTTTTGTTATCTTAAAAACGTGTGCGTGAGCCACAATAAACCCGCCCAGGTCACATTAAATGCTCTAAGAGACCCACATAAATATAGTACATATTGTACAACTGTATGAATATACAGTTGAAAAGCTGACATACCTTTTTACCCTGCCACTTGATATGCCTAACAGGATGTTTCAATAATATATTTTCCTCAGGTATAGACTTCCTTAAAGGTTCTAAAATTGCACTATATCCATCTGGCAACACTATGTTTCCTCCTTGGAGTTCCGTATAGCTCCCTAACTCGAACAAGTCCACCTCACTCATATCGTCACATCCAGAAATGCAGGTTTCACGTTTCAGCAAACAATCAAAGAGTAACTCGCGAATACGTCTCTCTTGCTTGTCCGTAATTTTGTCCAAGTACAAACTTATTTCTAATTTGATGTGATCACCAACACTTTCGATACCATCTGGAGGAGAATACTGAGATACGAAATACTCTTCGCAGCGTTGCAGGAAGCATAAGTAGGCTTCATAGATTTCATGAAGGATGGCGAACGGAACCTGTTTGCCTTGCTCAGTTGAAGCAACTAGTTTGTGGGGCTTTTGGTAGGCCATAATGTCAACCAGGCCATGCTGCATTGCTAGTTCATAGACAGGATTGCCTGCGAAAAATATAAATGACAGTTTATATTGATCTTCAAATCCGTTGAGTAGCACAAGATAGTTTCAGATTTCTACTCATGCAATCAATTCGACCATATCTCTTTATCCCTCTTGATTATTTGAAAAAATTCATAGACGTCATAGATATGATATATAGTCAAAAAGTATTTCATATCCCCCTTGAATTTTTTACATTGAAACTAGCAAAAATGAAGTGGCAGTAAATTATATAGCCTAATATCCAGTCCTTTTTAAGGTTCCTGTACAAGATCTGTTTTGTTTTGTGCTTAATTATTCATTTGTTTTCCATAATATTTACGAGACTTTTAGCAATAGCTGAAAATAGACAATTTCTGGAGTTTTGAATATTGATCAGCAAATTTCATGAGTTTCACTAGATGTTATACTTATAGCAAATATCTGAGTAGTTAATACTGTGTCTAGACAAGTTTTGGATGCTGTATTTCTGCTAGATATTGTATTTAAAAAACTGAATGGAAAGGAGATCGATTTGTTAATAGCGCTGCTTTTTGTTTCATCAATATTTCTATTATTCTGATTACGTAAGTCGCCTTAATCAGTCCTCTGCATATATTATTTATATCTTAAATTTGAATCAGTATCAACATCCAAGAACCTGACGAATAATTGTTAACCCCTCATATACAGGATTATTTTCATTCATATTGACAATTGATAATGATGATTTAGATGATCAGAGGCTGTACCTACACAGCTTACCAGTAATTCCAAACATTACATAACACTCAACAAAGTTTCTCAAATCAGTTGTAATCTCATATTTTCTAATAAATCTTTCGTTGATTCAATTCTGCTTTGTTTTCGAATATATGATAAGGTTTTATAGACTGAAACTGACAGAAATTTTGAAAAATTCAATGGAAAAAATACTCCAAGAAGAATGTACCTAAAACACCGTGAATCCAATTAGCTCCAAGCTCTACTTTTTCGTTGGCCAACTGAATCTGAACTATCCTTCCTCCAATTCTTCCCCTGGCTTCCAAAACTTTGAAATCAGTAAATCCATTTTTAGATAAATGATAGGCAGCTGACAAACCAGCCATTCCAGCCCCAATTATAAGAACTTTGCTATTATAGACATTGTTATCGACCTCCTGGGCCCCATCACTGTCCATTGTAATTGTATTTTCCTTTAAATAACAATTACTTGCGGAGGCTCCATCAGATGCGGATATTATTATTATTAATATGTCAAAATTTTAGTTTATACGACTTCAAACGTCAAAAATTTTGACATGAAGCCGGGTTGCCACTTGAGATTCCATTTACATGTTCTTTAACACAAATCACATTCAGTTTCAACGTCTCGCGACAGTTGAAACTTGGCTCTCGTGGTTTAGAAGGAGAAAAATATTAACCTCATCGACTATAATGTAATTTGGAAATTCCGCTTTCAAACTCAAAGTTAAGACATTTCCTTTATTATAACCTAATCTAATCTAACCCAACCTCAGTCACAATTCACATTATTCCAAGTTCAAAATTGGAATTTCCGAGCAGAATGTCGGAAAAACATAAATCAAGTTCAAAGTAAAAAATATCAAAAAAAATCAGTGTGCCTCTTCTGCGCTTTCGTACAACTGTTGAATTGTTGAGAAAAATGTTGAACTTATTTCTGAAATTTTATTGAATTACCTCTTTTACTTCATGGAATATCCTTCACCTTAAGTTCCCCGTTATGTAAAGTTGGCTCTATTTCGCAACCCCCTTTTACTGATAAATAAAAAAGAGTTACAAAATAAATTACAATTCACAAACTTTTTGCGAAATTTGAATTCAAATAAGAAACATTTTCATCAATCGGTAAAAAAATTATGTGAGAATACACCCAAGAAAAATTGTGTTCACTGAATCATGATTTACCCTGTATATGAATGCGTCATCATCCCTCTTACTCACGTGTACGCGTTTTCAATGCAGTGTTGCAAGATGCAAATAAATCTTTCGATTTTGAAGAATTTCACAGCAGCTTGAAGAAATCTGAAGCACATATTTTTTGGAGAATGAGAATTGGCAAAAATCTAAATGAAAAAATGAGACAAATAGAAGAAAACTGACAACAGGGTGGTGAGAGAATGATTTAATTTCCTTGTTCCAGATTCACTTGTAGGGCGAGTCGCCCCCATATTCTCTGGCTTTTTATCAAGAGTTCTATCTTTTAATTTTATACTTGTTTTTTATACTCAAATAAAAATATATGAATATCAAAGTAACAGCAGTAAGAAACTTGTGATTACATTGGATATGTTTTGGAAAGATATCGAAAAGATAAATGCGACATAATAAGTAAGAATCAATGGTGATACTTTGAACTTTTTACTCTTAGGTTCACTACTGAAGTAATATTATTCAAGCCCATGAATTAATGTCGTCATTACTCAGCCATACTCTTTGAGAATCCAGTAGAATTGGTGTTTAGCATGAGTAAGCGTAGTTGGAAATTTTTGGATTTAAAGAAATTCAAAGATTGTCTCGAGACTTACGAAAATATCACCTGGCAACATTGTTTCAATGTTTCACTTTCCGCGTGCGCTTAGGTTTTCAAGTTGTTTTGTGCATTTTGTGTTGTAGTCGTCGTTATTTAGCCGTATTGCTTTTTTTATTTATTAGAAATCGCGGTCGTGCTTCGTCAAAAATAGAAGTGACTGGTTGAAGAAGTGGCTGGCGCTTCTTACAGAAAGAAAGTGTAGCAGAGAAGAGCTGATTGGAAAAGAAACAAAGTAAGTGCGTCTGAATCATCCCTTGGAAAAAGGCAGTTTTCGATCCTAACCTGTAAATTGCCTTTTTTTTCAATTATTTTTCCTTAAGGATATTTCTTGCTTTTTCTGTCCTGGATTTTTAATATTTTGGCACTTATATTGTCGATAAATTTCCTTAATGAAGGACTTTCACTTTATTTTTAAGAGTGGCATTAAATTGTTGAAATATTGATGAATTCATATCAAAATTGCTTCGTTTTGAACTAATTACTAGAAAAATTGATGAAATTTTGCTGCAAATATGGTATTGTTTTTAATTCTTCTTTACTGCCTTGAATGGGAGAGTGACGTAATTGTTGACTAATATTGTATTTATAATATACTTAATAACCGTTAACCTAGTGGCCGATATAATGTACAGAGGGATTGTACAAGGATATGCGACTGCTCATTGAAATGTATTAGGTGTGCTTAGAATTTCCATCTTTTCTTAGAAAGTCTTTGTATAATGTGTTTATATGTGAATGTGGTAAACATTGAAATAGATCACTATTGGCGAACAAAGTTCCAAATAAAAATATTAGTTATTCAAATATTTCGTATGTCCTTGTACGTAATCAACAAAGACACTGTTGATAAATTTTGTCGGTGTCGGGTAAAAAAAGCACCCCTGTATCTTTAATGGTATACTTGAAGAATCATGAGGTGATCTTTTTTGTAGAGAATTTCATGATTGATATAAATAAAGGAATAGAGGAGTACATCACGATTAAGTACTTCAAAGTAGGTAATAATAAAATAAATGCACTTTTTCCGAAATTTATAGATAATGATGAATAGGGTGGACAAAACTTTATTAATTTCCTCAAGAGTTCCATTGGGTTATATAAGAATTACTGCGACATAGGAGTAGGAGAGACAGTCTAGTTCGAAAAGTGCAGAGCGATGAAGCTAATAAGTCGGTAGACTTTCGGGCGTTAGTCTGAAGTTTATTTAGAGTTTTTGTGTTGTATTGTCTGTATAGTAGTGGAATAAAAGTTGAATTTAATTGTACAATGTAGTCAATTATTGTCGAATCCGGCGGAAAACGTAACAGTGTTTTGAAGAGCGATATGAGATGGTGTCAAAAAATTTCACGTCACTGAAAGCAAGAGTACATTTGAGATAGGGCTATGAAACAGCTGAATGCTGCTGGCTATGCAGTTCTTGTGAAACTCAAAACTATTGTAAATGAGTAAAAAGGCACACCCTCTCGCTCATACAAAAATTATATAAATATCCTGTACTTGCTTTAATTTTTCTGGGCTTTGATCCTAGTGTGCGGCGATCGGTTTCGAACGTGACACCCTGTATGCAAACCTATCCTTTAAATGCAACCAAGTGTGTTTCCCCAAAATCCGTTGAGTCAATTCGTTGAACCTTTAACGGGGTTCAACTTTGGATTTTGACGAATATTAATTTGTCAATGGAGTATTGTGCCAGGGTGTACCTTCCGTGTTTGGAACTGAATTAAATTTTTGTATGGGTAATACTTTGCGGTAAACGTTATGCGGACATATTTCGCGGCGAAATGTTAGGAAGTTATACAGTGTGCTTCGAAAATGTAATCGAAATTTTGATTTTTATATCAAAATTTGAGACCATTGAAAACATGATTTTATTAGGTTGCTTCAAAAGTTTTGTCCGTTTGTATGAGTAATATCTCACTGAATACTTCTAAAATTATAACGAAATGAACCGCATGTTAACCCAGATAAGTTATCAGAAGTAAAAAAAAACGCAAAGTTTTTACGTAGAGAGTATTGGTCGTTAATATAAAAGAACCTGTCTAATAGCATATGTAAGTTTTATAATTTGTACTCTTGTCATTGTTTACACAAGTAATTTGTTGTGTATCTATATCTTTTGGCGAATTCTACAATCTGATGAAATAAACAAGACAACTTTCAAAACATCCTGTATATAATGTATGTAATGAAGAAACATAATGGGGAATGTTCTCCTGACGAAAATCAAGTAAGTAGTTTTCATAAAAGAGCTTTAAAACAACGCATTTCAAACTTATTATTTCAACCTGTTTCTTTAAAAAATTATTTGAATACTTAAAAATGAGGAATGAAATAATGCATTCAACATTTAAAGGGATTCGTTTCTATTTCACCATTTGGCAACATCGGTTATAGCTAATAAAGGACAATGAATCTGTTACCTGTATGAGACAAACAAAGATGGCATATTTCAGAGGTGTGCTGTTTTGTTTACTCATGTTCCGAGTTCCGAGACATTCTGTGACATATGAAATTTTGTGCACCTAACCTATCTTCCTCTATATACATAAATAACAAAATAACTGTTGTTTATGTGGTTTGTGGAGGTGGTATTGAACTATAATTTATATGTTGCCTTGATTTGACACTATTGACATGATTCTTCTTCTTCTAGCATACTACTAACCTGAACTCCGATCTAGCATTCTAGGCGCTGTTGCCAATATGTGAATTAGAAACAAATCCCTTTAAAAATTAAAACCCAACATTTGAAACATCAATTCGAATACTTTTCGAAGTGAATTTGAAAAACTCATGAATTAAACTCAACTTAATTTTGTTCAAACTTGCATTTGCTGCAATAACCCAAATTGAGGAACATTCCCCATTGTCTTTCTAAACGTTAATCTCCCACGAAATATTTTATTAATCACTTTTTCAACTATTTTTGAGCCACTGATTTTTTTCGTCCAGTTTGAGTTTATTTGTCGAAAATTATATCTCTTTTTTTTCGAGAATTGCACTTCCAGAAAGCATTGCAACAGTCATTTGTTTACTCAAGTGTTTGCACTCCAGTCTCAGCGTTCTTTAACCTCAAAATCAAACCATATCGGACCACTCTCTCTTATCTTCGGCGGCGATAAAAAAGTTATTTAAACACAAGACGCCCATTTATCTTTAGATGTCATATTCGCATGTATGCTTGCCGTGGGAGTTGAAAATTAAGCGAGGCTCTCTAGAAACTATTAAATCTCCGCATACTTCCTTCCGAGCAAAAGTTGAATCATCATCTTTTGTTTTAGTTGTATTGGATTTTGTTTCGGTTCACGTGTTCTCGTAGGAATTTTATCATTGTTTTGCTTCTGTGTCGGTCACTTCGATAATGCTCACTGTGGAATTAGACCAGTAGCAATGTGGGAGGTTTTCACCTATTTATTATTATGTAAATATTTTTAATTAAACTGTCATAGCTGTATCAATAGACTTGTTTCATGATTTTTGGTTAATAGTTCACTTGATAGAAATTTTAAATTAAAAAACAGTGCACTTTGTTTCATCTCTTTAAGTAACGTAGTTTTCCCGTAATTAATTATTAAAAATCGAATGTGGTAGGATGGTGACGTCACGCCCCTATATCGCTTCTTGTTCGATTGACCAATATACAACTCTCGTTTATTTTCGATTTTACGAAAAAAAATTGGTAAACAAAGTTGTTCAAAATAAAGTTCCACAATTTTGGTCGTTAAAAATTTTTTTATAGGATCGTTATTTTTCGATTTATACCATACCCGAGAAAAGAATGGTGAAAAATTTCATCATTGTATTATCACGTTTATTTTAAATTTCACGAGAAAAATTGTGGCAAAATAAGTTGTATAAAATCAAATTTCTTACAGTTTTGGTCCTAATCAATTTTTCTGTAGAATCGTTATTTATCGATTTACATTAGAAAAGAGGGGAATAAATTTCGTTTATTGAATAACCTGTTAAATCTAAATTTGACAAATAAAATGGTTATTGTTATTACCAAAGTTGTTTGTAATTTCCTATTGAAAATAAATATGATAATACAATGATACGATTTTACCCCTTTCTTTCAAACGATTTTTGTAATTACTACTTTTCGTGTAAAATTAAAAATTAGCGAGTATATTCAATAAACAAAAGTCAACCCTTCAATTCCAAAAGAAAATTGCCAGTAAAAATGTTTGCGTTGTCAAATCATAATTCGACTGGGCTATTAGTTCTGCTTGTTGATTCGATGCACAAATGTATAACCGCTATGCATTTTTTGGGCGTTTCACGGTCGATTTGATCCTGATACGCCATTTTGAATCACTCCTATTTCCGCGCTTAATTTTTCACAGTTGAAAGCGCACAATTACAGTACTTTTCTCCGTTTTTCATAGCGATTGCCGATAAGAATCGATTTCATTATTACAGTTTTCCAATTGAATGTAGGTTTGTGTACCGTATCGCCGATAGTCTAGTTCATAAGTGACATTATCGAAAACCTGTCCTGCATTACTGAAAATTACAATTGGCGAGTTATTTGATTTGGAATGGCATCCAAAAACTTCAATAAAAGTGCAATTGCAATTGAGAATCGCAAAAGTTATAAACAAATAAGTAAAAATAGCAATTTTTTTGTAAATATCTCAGGTTATTACTCAAAGTTTATGTATATTAAAATGATATTGTAAGAAAAGGTTATTTATTAATAAAATCTATTATTGATTATTTTGTGTATATACATATATTATAGCTAATTAAGACAATTGTTACTTTTGTAGGATTGAATAATGATACTAATAATGTACATACACAAAATCAGTATCATCATTTTCAAGCCA